AGAAGCGATGGCCTCCAACTTAGAAGCGATGGCCTCCAAATAAGAAGCGACGGCCTCCAAATAAGAAGCGCTTGCCTCCAAATAAGAAGCGACGGCCTCCAAATAAGAAGCGCTTGCCTCTAAGTAAGAAGCGATGGTCACCACTTAGAAGTGAATTCCGCCAACTCAGAAGCGATGGCCTCCAACTTAGAAGCGCTTGCCTCCAAGTAAGAAGCAATGGTCTCCAAATACGAAGTGTTGGCCTCCAACTTAGAAGCGATGGCCTCCAACCAAGTAATGCTAACGTGAATTTCATTTTGTTTATTTGTATATTTACTCTAATTCAATTCAAATCGAATTTAATTCAATTTAACTCTAATTTGTTTAATTTAGTTCAATTCTAATTTAATTAAGATAATTCAATTTAATTCTAATTTAATTTAGTTTAATTCTAATTTGTTACTACTAGTAAGGCACTTGTTACTACTAGCGTTGCACTTGTTACTGTTTAGTTTACAACCTTGATTTCTGTTCGCTGATATCGAAGACTCTGAGGTTGAAGGCCATTGGCTTCAATGTGGGCTTGGCATGTCTTGCCCGAATCGTTGTGCGCCCTACGGCCACATCCTAAGTGGTGTTCCTGTTTTGAAGTCACAGAGTTTTTTCAACAAAGCCGCAGAGCCTGAAGCATATCAAACATGAAAACTTCTAAGATGGAAGCAGAGGGCAGCGGCTTTCCTGAGATGAAGGTGTGGGCATGGAAAGCATGGCTGGAAGCATGGAAAACAATCCAAAGCAGGGGGCTGTGCACATTATCGGAGATAGCAAAGATTCCAATTCCACTGACAGGCTATGCTCTTTGGAAAAGTACTTTTCAATTATCTTACCTTGCGAGTGCGTGGAAACCCAGAGACAACCAGTCAGGGAGGGAGAGGGAGGGGGGGGAGGGGGGGGGGGGGAGAGAGAGAGAGAGAGAGCGCGAGAGAGAGAGAGAGAGAGAGGGAGAGGGAGAGGGAGAGAGAGTGGGGGAGAGACCATTGTATTTCCAGTCAACAGGGATGTAGAAAGACAAGACGTGCGGCTTGTCCACTAGCTTGATTTCGTACCGTTGCAGGTTTCCTGAGTTTCTTGTGAAACAAAAACATCAATACATTTAACTACTTAAGTTTCCAAGTTCTTTACCTATGCCACCCAGAAGTACATGTGTCAGCTTAGACTGCTCCGCAAATGAGGTTAGTCTCCAAAGCTGTGGCACTTTCTTTGGGTGTTGGTGCTGGTTTGCCTTTGGGCAAGGACTGAGCATCTCTGTCCTATCAATACAATTGCTTTGCTTCCTGTAAAGCAGCGGGTTTTGCATTGTTTAGACATAGACATAGAAGAAAGGAGGGGATGGGAGAAGGGAGACGGAGAAGGAAGCAGGGCGAGGGTCAGAATTGAGGACTTTGGGTGGGTACAGGCAATAAAAAGACTATGTTGGACAGAAGCAATGTTGAGCAGACAAGCAGGCTGACAAGTTGTACAATGAATTGCTAAGAATGAGGGTGTGCCCACTTTTTTGAATGCAAAGTAGAAGGTCTTTGGTGGGACACTCAACATTGCTTGTGTGGAGTACTCATTGTGGACAGGTATGCAAAAGTCACATATCTCCGTCCTTGATGATTCTAGAGCTGCTATCTGTCGGAAGTTGTAGACCTTCTAGAATAATGGTCATCCCAAATTTGATTCTTTTTCCTTTGTTCGTTCGTGCAGGAAGGTCCCAATGTGCACCTGGCGGTCCGCTCCTTCCACTTTTGTCACTCAGTTGCACAGCTGAAAGCGTGCTCAGCGTTCTCAGCGCGCTCAGGCATGCATAGCTCGAGTTATAAATCCATCTTTCTTCGAGCCAACACCTCAGACAAAGATACCGGTCACGTTTTCCTCTCGTGAAACGTTGAAGGACATGTTGTAGAATTGCACAAGCAGCCTGTTCTTCACAGCATTTAGTTTTCCCAAAAATGGGCTCCTAGTAGCGTTCTTGTTCCTAGTAGCGATGCCAGGAGCCCCTTGTAGCGTTCTTGTTCCTAGTAGCGATGCCCTTTGCTCCTAGTAGCTTCTTGTTCCTCTAACACATGTGCGAGCCTGAGCTTTCCTCCATCCACACTGGCCACTGAAGTAGCCTACTAGCTACTGCTGGCTACTCGCCCCGTCCCAGGAAACGCGTGCAGAGTAGCCATGGAGCTCATGGTGCTGGTGGAAGCGGTGTCGGTTCGGCTGTCTCGAAGCTGCTCTTGGCTGCATGCGCCGTTGGCCTGGAACACCCAGTCATTGTGGCTTTCTTGTGCAGAAAGAACACCTTCCTTTTGTTTTCTTTTCCTTTTTGTTTATATATTTTTTTTAAAATAGTAGCTAGAGGTAGCTGCTACTCCTACAAGAACGCTACTACTGACAGGAAGCGTCGCACGAATGATTTGGTTTCTAGATTTTTAGGGACACTTAACATTCGTTATGAAAAAGTGCATAAAGAATCAGGAAGTGGAAAAAGACATTCTACGGCCTGAAGGTCTGTATTGCGAGCAAAGTGATTATTCGTGTGTGTGGGGTTGTGAACACATAAAATATACCACGACCGCCTCGGTGACGCAAGTGACGCCACAATTTAGACCAACAGTTTTTGCATCAACTGAGCAGCGTTCTACATGCACCCTTTCTTTTTTAGTCCAGGGACCGGCAACAAATTAGTGAACATAGTGATTTTAGCTGATGTGTGCAAGGTGTCCGTCAGGTTTGCAGTAAGGATGTGCAGACTTGAACGATTGCGTATGGCTACCGGAAGCGAAACTTGTTTATTTTGATTCTGTTTCCTTTCTTGTTTTGCAACGACATATCATATGTGTGACCATCGTGGACTTGGATACCTTCGCCGTAAGCACAACGTAAGAATAGCCATGCATACATGTGTCACCATAAGCCATAAGCAAAAATAGAAAAACATAAGCTTTGCGTAAGGCCTACCGTAAGGTTTGATTTCTCGGGAAGAAAAGACACCACAATTTTGATCACCGCTCAACTGGCCATGGTAGCTTTTCTTGGAGTCCCGTCGCAAGCTTGTCGTTTCGAGCATGACAAAGTGTTATCATTTACGTTTTCGTGTTTGTCAAGCCAGGCACAAGGACGCTACTAGGAGCAAAGGGCATCGCTACGAACAAGAACGCTACTACGGGCTGGCCGTACTATTGTTCATGGACTCTACTAGGAACAAAGGGCCGTTGTTTTGCGGGGTGAAAAAACAGGAAAGTGCGTAAATCGCGGTGCCCGGAGTTGGATGAAAAGAGCAACATACAGTAGGGTGTTTTCGGACGCAAAGGTTGGCGAAGCTGCAGTTGTTTTTGGGAGATTTGTGGAAACAAACTCGTAAAGCGCAGGGGTTTGGCTGCTGAACTGTCTGTGCAGGTATGGAAAGACACAGTGTTTACAGAGTGCCCTTTTGTGCTTTGTTTAAAACCGTCTCGAGGCAAAAAAGGCACCTCTGAAAAGTGGGTTCTGGCAATCAGACCGACAAAGAAGAACCTTCGAGCTCTTAGAAGCGATGCCCTTGTTACTAGTAGCGTCCTTGCTCCTAGTAGCGATGCCTTTGTTACTAGTAGCTTCTTGCTCCTAGTAGTAAGGCCAGGAGCCCCTAGTAGCGTTCTTGCTCCTAGTCGCGCTGGCCTTTGCTCCTAGTAGCGTTCTCGCTCCTGAGATGAGTCTTGCAAACGAAGTGGGCATTGTCTGGGGGGCCAGTGCTTCTTGTTACTACTAGTAAGGCACTTGTTACTAGTAGCGATGCACTTGTTCCTAGTAGCTTATTGTTTCTAATAGCTTCTTGTTACTTGTGAAATTGAAGCCACTCTATCCATCCGACTGCAGACCCCCTTTCAGGTCAAAAAGGAACCTGTCCGCATGGTAGCGGAGCAAGGACGGAGATTTGCTTAGCATCTCTCCCGAGCTCCAGGGACAGGAGGGGCAGGACCCGGAACCCCGCTTCGCGCCCAGTCTCGATCCTCGCCCGTGCGGTTTCATAGAACTGGTGTTGCATTTCGCTCGCAATCCTTGCTAGTGGGTACCGGACCCTAGAGTTTGAAGCGCCTTCGATTACCTCCTTGCCCATATCCTGGAAGAGAACGACCTGGTTGAGGAACACCTGACGGTCCTACGCCACTGCCATCGAAGAGGCCCTTGAGAACGAGAAAGGTGACCCTATGGACGGATCTGATCAAGGTCTAGCAGGCTTGACAGGTGGAACTATGGAGTTGGCCCAGGCCTTGATCCAAGCTGCCCAATCAGCATCTCAAGCTGCCCAGGCGGCAACCACGGCTAGTGCTGCACAGACAGGCGGAGGAGATGGCCCAGCAGCAGGAGGTCTCAAGAAAGATCTTGCAAAGTTGATACCTCGTCCCAACAGTTTCAACCCAGTTGATCGAGAGCAAGAAGTGTTGCAGTGGAGAGATTGGTATTGGGGGTTCAAACAATACCTACTTGTGGTGGACGGGGCATACCAGGAGGAGGTTGAGCGGATTGAGAAAGACCTCACTTCAGAGGTGGACTGGGAGTTGCTATCCGAAGCTGAGCAGCAACGAGGTCACTTCCTGTACAGCCTCCTGGGAAGTTTGGTGCAGGGCAGGCTGATTGGATTGGTACGCAATGTGGAGAACTTCAACGGCTATGAAGCCTTGCGTCAGCTCTTGAGCAACTGCCAGCCCAATGCACGCAATCGTACTATGAGCTTACTCCAGGGCATAATGGCCTATCCGAGCTTCAACATGAGGATTTCTCTTCTTCCTCAAATCCTCAAATTGGAAGAGCACTACTACCAGTATGAGAAGCTTGGAGGCAAGCTCAACCCCGACATGAAAGCGGCCATTCTGCTGCGCTCGATTGGAGGTCAGATGAAGATGCACCTGAACCTTGCTCTGAACAAGGGCTCAACCTACGCTCAAATTCGAGAGGCCATCATCGCCTATGACAATGCAACAACGAAATGGAATGAAGCAGGAGCATTGTCTTTCACGAGCCCTACGACTTCAGGCATGGATCAGGGACCTATGCCCATGGAGGTGGACCGCCTACAGCAGAAGGGCAAAGATAAAGGGAAGTCCAAAGGGGAAGAACAGAAGGGGAAGAGTAAGGGCAAAGTTGACAAGGGCAAAGACAAAGGCAAGGGCAAGTCAGATGGCGGCGCCAAGAATGGCAAAGGGAAAGGAGGCAAGGAGAAGGGGGGAAAAGGAAAGAGCACCAGTGAGGTGTGCTGGACGTGTGGGAAACCAGGCCACATGTCAAAGGACTGTTGGAGGGTGCGCCAAGTGGAAGCTCCACCCGCACCGAGTGTGACATCCAGCAGTCAGCAAGGATCTATGACCGCCACGACCACGACAAGCACTACGAGTGGTGGAGATGGAGCATCAAAGGCAATTCGCCGTGTTTCACAGCCAGCAGTTTTTGATCTGAGAGAGACAGAGCTGACTGGCTCAATTCGCATGATTCAGGAGAGCCCGAGGTCATCCGTGGAGTTCTACAGCATTGCAACTGATGAAGAGAATGAGGATGAGCAGGACATGGATTATGTCATCAACACCATCCAGCATCAGAGTGATGACATGGAAGTGGACGATCAGGGCAGTGAGAATGAGGAGACGATCAGTGTGATCGTGGACTCAGGAGCAGATGCCTCCCTCTTTCCAGGGCATCTGATGGGAAAAGGGAAGCCCGTGATGGGAGTGTGCCCGTACCTCCAAGATGCACAAGGCACCAAGATCCAAACCTACGGCCATAGCGATGTGGACATCGTCATGCACTCCAAGGAGGGGCGAGAGGTGATAGTCAAGGAGAGAGTTACCTTCTCTGACATGGTGAGCCAGCCCATCTTGTCGTATGGCAGATTGTTGAGGACAGGCTGGTCCATTGATGGCAAAACTCAATGTCTCAAGCACGGCGAGATCGAGATCCCCCTGGTGTTTCAGAACCAGAGTGTGGTGGTTCGTGCCCATATCCGGATGATTCACGAACCCAGCTCGATTCGCACACTGAAGGTGAGGCTTGGCTCAGAGCTTCAAGAGACAGCAGTTGGCAGGTATGGGTGGCAGAAGAAAGGTGACTTCTGGCTGGGAGTTCATTCCAGCCGACACTACCAAACTCCTCAGTTTGTGCCGGGATTCAAAGACCAGGTTGAAGGCCTTTGTAGGTCTACGCTGGTGGAGCGCCGTGGGCAATGGGAATTGGTTGAAATGGCTGAGCCGCTTGATGGGCTCTGGGAGCAGGAAGAACCTATTGAAGAGTTGAAGGAGGAAGAAAGGAGTCGAGTGATGACCTTCATTGCTCCAAGTGGGACGGTGCCGGAGACTTTTGGTTTTGAGGTGATGGATGGATTTCACTTCAAGTCAAGCCCTGAAGGCATGGAGGAGCTGGCCGTGCCTGAGGCTATGGAGGATGAAGAAGTGGAAGGAGTGGACATTCCTGGTGGAGAGCGTGTCCCTGGTGCTAGTCTTGAAGATCAGGAGGCACGATTGGAGATTGGAGTGGCAGTTCCTTCACAGCTTCAAGTGAATGGGATTGTGTTGACCTTGGAAAGTCCACTTCGGAGCTTGCGAGCTGCCTGCGCCTTTTATCGCATTGGGCAGAGTGGAGGAAAGCAAAAATGCTTCAATAGATTGATGGCACACCAACATCAGCTGGAACTCCTCATGGCCAGAGACTTAGCGGCCCAAGGAAGAGCGACGGATGAACGCATTCCCGTGGAGCAGGCGTCAGCTCGTGAACCTACTGTTGAAGAGAGACGTCAACATGAGCTCACACATCTGCCATACCAGCCTTGGTGTACAGCTTGCCTGAAACACCGAGCCAGGCAGGACCAACACAGGAGGACAGGAAAGTCCCATGAGCAGGGATGCCCCACAGTGTCGTTCGACTTTTGCTATGTGAAGTCTTCAGGCTCAGGGGCGATTGGAGAAGAAGCAGAGGATGGTGCGCAGGCTGGACTGGAGGTCGAGCGTGGTGCGCTCCTACTGATCGCAGTCTGTTCACAGACAGGCTATTTGCTGGCCTTGCCAGTGAAATCGAAGAACCAGATGAGTTTGATCACCCATGAGCTGCTCGCCTTCACCCAGGTGTTGGGCCACGAGGAGGTTCAGTACTATAGCGACAATGAACCGACCTTGCGCCAGATCCTCAAGCTCTTGGTGAACGCAAGATCATCGATGGGATTGAAGACCACGATGAGGACAACAAAAATCTATGACTCGGCAGGGAATGGACTGGTGGAGAATGCCATCCAA